AGTCGGAGACCGTGCTGCTTCGCAAGCTCACGCAAAAGAAACTCATTGGCGTGGGAGCACGAAACGTGGAGAAGGTTAACGTCAACAATCTTGGTGGGTTTTCCCACCGAAAAAGGGCGCTTGCCCGAGGCCATGACGGGGACAGCGAAAGCAACATCATCGAAGACATTTGCAAATCCAGCCTCAAACATCAAGTCCAAAAACTCGTAGGGGTCTTCTGATACCACTCTTTGTTCCAATAGGTACACAGTCCACTCGTAATCTCCCTGCTCTGTGTACGGAATGCATCCACGGTCATCATCGTCATTACTTTCCTGAAAATTGGAGATGTCGGGCGACGGCAGCCCGGGAACAGCTACCAACTCCATACCATGCGGCCCTTGAGGAGCGGAAGGAAACACCACACTCCTGTCAGCGGGGGGGGGGGCATACATTGCCGGAGGAATGACCCTGCTCGCAGCGGGCGGAAGACCGTACACGATTGATGACACTACGCTGTTTGCAGCGGGCGGGAAACCGGGCACAGTAGAGGGCACTACGCTGTTGGCAGCGGGCGGGAAACCATACACCGTGGAAGGTACGACGCCGGCAGAAGCGGGCGGAAAATTCGACACGGTGGGTTGAATAGTACTCCTGGGAGCGGTATGAGGTACAGGCATCACCGGACATCACCGGAGGCACTACGCTGCTTTCAGCGGGCGGGACACGTGATNCTGTTTGCAGCGGGCGGGAAACCGGGCACAGTAGAGGGCACTACACTGTTGGCAGCGGGCGAGAAACCGGGCACAGTAGAGGGCACTACGTTGTTGGCAGCGGGCGGGAAACCATACACCGTGGAAGGTACGACGCCGGCAGAAGCGGGCGGAAAATTCGACACGGTGGGTTGAATAGTACTCCTGGGAGCGGTATGAGGTACAGGCATCACCGGACATCACCGGAGGCACTACGCTGCTTTCAGCGGGCGGGACACGGTACGACGCCGGCAGAAGCGGGCGGAAAATTCGACACGGTGGGTTGAATAGTACTCCTGGGAGCGGTATGAGGTACAGGCATCACCGGACATCACCGGAGGCACTACGCTGCTTTCAGCGGGCGGGACACGGTACGACGCCGGCAGAAGCGGGCGGAAAATTCGACACGGTGGGTTGAATAGTACTCCTGGGAGCGGTATGAGGTACAGGCATCACCGGACATCACCGGAGGCACTACGCTGCTTTCAGCGGGCGGGACACGGTACGACGCCGGCAGAAGCGGGCGGAAAATTCGACACGGTGGGTTGAATAGTACTCCTGGGAGCGGTATGAGGTACAGGCATCACCGGACATCACCGGAGGCACTACGCTGCTTTCAGCGGGCGGGACACGGTACGACGCCGGCAGAAGCGGGCGGAAAATTCGACACGGTGGGTTGAATAGTACTCCTGGGAGCGGTATGAGGTACAGGCATCACCGGACATCACCGGAGGCACTACGCTGCTTTCAGCGGGCGGGACACGTGATACTGCGGAAGGAACGTATGCTACACCCGGAGGGGGGGGAAACACCGGTGGGGTTTCTGGCATCACTCTACCGTCACTCGCATTTAAACGTACACCGGCAGCGCGGGGAGGGGGCACCGGGGGAAAAATCATCACAGGCACAGCGGTGGGCGTTTCATAGTTGGGCGGCAAGCGTGTGGCTCAAAGCGACGAACCCCTCTCGCCACGGGGAAAGGTCAAATGGCCATGGAAAAGATGGGTGCCTACGTCGTCCAAGGCAATACGTTGCAATCCCTGTGCTTGGTGGAGGGAGAAAATATTCAACCCCATTCCTTCTACATGACGTACTTGGGTAAGCTTCACGCAAAAGTCTTTACCTTCAAGATGTAACCTCACGTTTAAACATCTGATTCCAAGCACTCGCATCGTCCTGCCATCACCGATCTGCACTCTCTCGCTACCACGGGGCGGGATGATCACATCGTACATGTTCGTGGGGTCTCCGGTGGTGTGGTTAGTTGCACCGGAGTCTGCAAGCCATTCTTCAACTCCTACACGC